TATTGTATAATTGAAAGAGATGAAAGTAAAAGACAATATTTTTCACATTGGATCTCTTTGGACCAATGTTAATCCATCAGAAATTTGGGGTTGACATTGGTAGGTTCCTGTTTAGCCCGTGACTCAATTAATAACGTTTTTTTAGTGGCTGCATACAATGATACAATTACAAACAGTGTGGTAAAAATTAGCCTAAGCTGCTGCCTAGACGCCCCTAAGTGGAGGCGATTTAAGCTCTAGGTGGCTTTTAGTTAGCTGACCGACTAACCGGTTGACTAGGCGCCGAGTTTGGCGCCTAACTCTGCCTAGTTGGCGCCCAACTCGGCCGAGTGGTATTTTTTACTTGCTCAGTTGCTCCTCTTCTATATCCCTAGCTCCATCCATATACTCAACTAACCATCTAACATAGTTGATTAGTTTGTGCGATTATAATACTTTAACAATTCATAACCTTGAGTGAGAAAAGTATGAATGATATACTCGAATTACTCGACCGTCTCGAAGGCACTTCTACAACATTATTTACAGAATTATTAAATCAATAAATAGTACAATTTAGGTTAATTCTTAGACTTTCAATTATGGTGACATTTCTTGATTTTTTTTTTTTTTTGAGAATGACATTTCTTGATTAATGATTCAACTTAATTTTGCCATTAGCTTCCATGGTGTATTGGTGTTTCCCAATTTAATCCCGTAATAAATATTGCCTTATTTTCGTAAACTTTGAGGCCTAAATGATAAATTATTATCTCACTAATAAGGGTGAAATTTTCAATGTTAATGCCATTTAGCCACCATTTTTACTCTTGTAGTTAGATCCAAACATGACACTCAATATCTAACTTTTGTTAAATTATCTCACTGCACTGAAAAAGTTTCAAAGAAGTTAAAAGAAGGAATTAGGAGATAAAATAATTAAGAAAATATTTTTTAAAAAAAATAAATGAATATAAAAGTTGATTTAACTAATTAATAAGAAACACAAGTAAAATAGGTCGATAATGAGAGTAATAATAAATGTAATAAGTTTCTTTAAGCAACGTTGAATCTTGTGAATAGACTAACAATCATTTGAAAAGTTTTTGAAAGGGTGTTGCTATTTACACCACCCTTTGGTCAAAACTAAGTATAAAGTATCTTGAAATTATAAAAAGATGAACACTTTCAATAATTACATAGGTGGTGTAAATAGTCAAATGGGGTTTCATTTTGCTATTTGCACCACCTTGGTCAAACCTCATTTATGAGGTGTAATTAATACTTTTTTAATTCAACATTTAATTAAGAGAAAATAGTACTTTTCCCCCTAAATTATATACTTATAGTATTTTTTCCCCTTAATTATTCATGTTAGCATATTTGCCCCCTCAATTATTCTAAAAGTGACGATTTCCCCCCTGATATATTAAATTGACATTTCTACCCTTAAAGTAAACATTTTATTTATTTTTCTTCTCTAACAAATTATTGCGTATACGTAGGGATGTCCACGGTTCGGTTCTAACTGAACCGGACACTATAACAATCGAATTAAAAGTTTCTGGTTAAGGGAAAATTGTACACTTTTTCCCTCTGAGTTATATGATTATAGCATTTTTTTCCTCTTAGTTATTTGTTTATCCACATTTGCTCCCTCAATTATATTAAAAGTGACAAATTTTCTCCATTTTATGTTAGGTGAACATGCATGTTTACCCTTAAAACTAAATATTTCATTTATTTTTTCTTCTCCAACAAATTATTGTTTATATGTACAGATGATTATAGTTCGGTTCGAACAATTTTTTATTTTATTACCAATTCAAAATTTATTTATTTATTTATTTATTATAAATTCTATTTCTTATTTTTAAAATAATATAAATTCAATAATTATTTTATTTCATTTTATTTCATTTTTTCGGTTCTGAATCGTAAGTATAAGCAAATAAAGTTGTGTTGTGCCTTCACAATTAGTTATATTTGTTCTATATTTTCTTAAACATTTTTAACCCTAAGAATCTAAGCTTCACTCCCAAGGTTCGAACCTATGACAATTTATTTGAAATGGTAATTGAAATGTCATCATATTACATGATAGTTGGCTTAATCATATTATATATAATAATCATATAAAAACCAATTGTTGTTAAATCAAAGTAATTGTAGATTACTAGTATATATGTCCTCTAATGAAGGTGTGCATTCCTCAAATTAAAAAGAGAAAAATCAAATATAATCTTAGATATAAAATCACACTCCAAAATGCCATTGGAACGTAATGGATTGTCAACTTCAATATGATTGCGAAAGCCTAAGAAATCAATACTTTTTCCCCCTTTTTAACAAGAATGAAGTTGGGAAGAGTAATATATAACACGTGTGATTGCAAATTAAAACAAACTCCCTTTAGCTTTGCCTACGATTCAGAATTGAAAAAAATAAAATACAATAAAATAATTATTAACTTTATTTTTTAAAAAAATAAGAAATAAAATTTATAATAAATAAATAAATTTTGAACGGGCAATAAAAAAAAAATTGTTTGAACTGAACCGTGACCATCCGTACATATAAACAATAATTTGTTGGAGAAAAAAAAATAAATGAAATATTTAGTTTTAAGGGTAAAAATGTCTATCAAACATAAAAGGAAGAAAACATGCCACTTTTAATATAACTAGGAGGCAAATGTGGATACATGAATAACTAAGAGGGAAAAGTGTTAAAAGCATATACCTAAGGGAAAAAAGTGTCATTTATAATAAATATTTGTTTAAAAAATAATGTTTGACTAAAATTAATGAAGGTGGTGCAAATAACAATTTTCTATTTACACCACCTATAAAGTTATCACGCCTATTAAATAGGTGGTGTAAATAGCAATTAGGGTGGTGCAAATAGAATTCCCCTTTTGAAAATAGAGTCTAGCAATAACTAAACTTTATAAAAATATTGACCTATAATATTTTTATAGGTCAATAAGTATTATATTTTCCCTATAAAAATATAACATTTTCAGTGTATTTATAAATGAGCCAACAATATAATGCTTTTTAGTGAAAAATGTACCGATACTTAATCGGTTCATATATAAAAAAATATTACATTTTTGTTAAAACAAAAAATATACTAATTGAGACGCTCTCACACAAATTTTAGTAAAAGTTAATTAATGTATAGAGTTAATACCCAAAATCGTCCTCGACTATAGTGGTTTTTCTCAATTTCGTCCTAAACGACTTTGGTGACCTAATATCGTCCCAGACTTTTGTGTTTCACTAAATTTAGTCCCAGACTTTTGTGTTTTTGCTCAATTTAGTCCTTCATTTGTTATTCTGTCCATTTGGTGTTAAATAAATAGACAATTCAGTAATTTTAATATTGACATCTCTTTACTCATAGACATGTGAACTGCGAAATCCTTTTTTTTTTTACGAATTACTCCCAGAATTACTCCTAAAACTGCGAATATAAAATTTGATTTGCAGGTCCGGGAGTAATTCTAGGTGTAATTCGTACAAGAAAGAGGAATTTCGCACTTCACAAGTTGAAAGTAAAGAGAGATCAATATTGACATTACTGAATTGTCCCTTTATTTAACACCAATTTGACGGAATAACAAATGGAGGACTAAATTGAGCGAAACACAAAAGTCTGGGACGATATTAGGTCACCAAAGTCGTTTAGGACGAAATTGAGAAAAACCACTATAGTCGAAGACGATTTTGGGTATTAACTCTTAATGTATATACCAAATGAGTTTGTATCTATAAATTGCTTTTTTTTTTTTCTAACGCAAATCCATTACTTGAGGATGTGTACTGAGTAAACTTCACTTTTGTCAAATAATCTACAAATCACACCGGAGAAGTAAACTCTTCAGCTCCAACTTCTTTATTTATAATGTTTAATTAAATCTAAAATATAAATAGGAATCAAGATTCTTCTAGGTACTTAGACCACAGGTTATTGGTATGAAACTTTGACATGCAATGGTCAATAATATCAACTAACTCTCAAAAAGGAACCCAAAAAAACAAAAACAAAAAAACAAAAAACAAAAAAAAAAAACAAAAAACAAAAAAAACAAAAAAACAATAAGGGAAAGGAAAATAATGACTTAATTAGTAGGACAACATGCATGCTTAGGAGGGGAGAAAGGATGTTAGAATTACTCTCTAGCAATGTAATTGATTGTGAAAGTTATGATACTAAAATACTAAGAACAAACTCAATAGAAATATTCAATTGAAGCTATACCAGAAGGTTATGAATTTGATTTTATTATTCTTGCCAACACCCTCTCAGTTGAGCTTATCACATAGGGTTGTTCTAGTGCAGTTTACCTCTCTTGTGTGATTTGCATGCTATTACACATGAGCAGAATTTATCCAATACACAGTCTTCCTTTTCGGTTTACCTACCATATGTAATTTGCGAGTTATTCTATAGGAGCGGGGTTTATCCCGTACGCACAGATCGTAACTACAATCTTATATATATATATATATATATATATATATATATATATATATATATATATATATATATATATATATATATATATTTATAGGGTAGAGCAATCCTATTCGTTTTATTTAATTTATATATATGCTATTGAGACAATGAGGATTACCTTCAACTATTTACTATGAAAAAAATCAAGATTAAAATTCGAATCCCGAAAGAAATATAGTACTAATAAAGAAATCAGAAATTTTGATTGGAAGAATGTGAATGCAGCATGCATGCAGACAATGAACAAGTTATCTAGGGATTAGGGAATGGTATATTAATATGATCAGATTTGGAGCTAATTACAGAATATTAATTAAGTATATACGGCCTTCACTTACATCCAAGATTTGAGAAAATATGCTTTATTCTCTTGCCAGGTAAAATTCCCGTTGTCACACATGGGAATATATAAATGCAATTTTCTTTCTTTATTTTATTATTATTTTTCGCAAAATTCACCCTATAAAACTCACATTTCCTTGTTTCTCTTCATCACCACCAAGAAAGTAAACCACTCTTCAATTCATCTATTATAATCCCTCTTGAGCTAGCTAGCTTGCTTACTGAGTTCTTGAGAGATGGATTCGAAGGGCTCTAAGGTTTTCGCTCTCTTTCTTGCAATCAACATTTTGTTCTTCACCGCAGTGAGTGCCTGTAGCACTTGCCCGACCCCTAACCCTAACCCTAACCCTAACCCTAATCCAAACCCTACCCCTTCACCGTCTTCTGGTGGGAAGTGCCCTAAGGATGCCCTAAAGTTGGGTGTTTGTGCCAACCTTCTTAATGGCTTGCTCAACGTCACTGTCGGCACGCCTCCCAAGACTCCATGCTGCTCACTCATCCAGGGTCTCGCCGATCTCGAGGCTGCCGTTTGCCTTTGCACTGCCATCAAGGCAAACATCCTTGGCATTAACCTTAATGTCCCTCTCTCCCTAAGCTTGCTGCTCAATGTTTGCACCAAGGACACACCAAAAGGCTTTACCTGCCCTTAAGTTAATTGATTCTTATATGAATTCAATGTTTATTTTGAGGTTGTTTTTGCTTATTTAGTTTGCATGTAAGATTTAGTTCGAGCATGCATATATGTCTTAATTTAATTTGTTGTTATTGTTGTTGTTTGAAGCTAAGTGTTCAATGTAGTATGTTATGCTGGTTTTTTTAATGATTCCAAGATGTTTGGTATCTACTCTCATTGGAGGTTTGTGTCTTGTACACAGTTATTAGCAAGAAGATATCCATATTTTTTTTTTCTAAATAAAAACATCATTATATTATGAGTAATTATAAATTTCATGATATAGCTTATGGATTGAGTGACTGGAATTAATTAAGAGTCAAATATATTCCTTTTGTCCTAAAAGGCGCAGCTGAGTAGAATATGATTCTCGTACTTAGAATGTCACGAGTTTAATTTTTGCCAACATTTTCTTAATCAAGCCCGTCTTACAAGGACTTCCTAGTGTGATTTACAAATTATGACACAATATCAAGATTTATCTAATTCATACTCAATACATATCATCACATAGTGAATACAAATTTTCCTCGCTCTCGTCACCTTTAAAAAGAAAAATATTATGGAAATAAACTGCATTCAAATTAACCCTTAGCTTATTCAACTGGCCTGGCCGGTCGGGGTGACATGTCTGTAATATTTGTCAACTTTTAAACAGTCCATAATTGAATCTAATAGATTAATCAATTTTCGTTTTCTTCCATTAATTAATATAAATGACACTGTTTCGATCTACGGGGTAATTACACATTCCTATCTTAGAGGGAATCTCGGTGAACAACGTAACTCATTTCATTTACTATACTTTGAAGTTTCAATTCCTTCCATTCATATTTGAATTTCATGTTTGCTTGTGAACCTTGTTTTTTTTTACAACGTAAAGTCATACTTTATAAGTATGAATTTTGTACCTCATCGTTTCAATTCAGGATCCATAATGATATGTACACCATGGTCCATGATATAAATTGCCCTCTCATTCGGCTTTCGCACTTGACAACTCACCCCTCCAGGGCTCCAAACTCCAATCCTTATACCATGGAGGGCTCAGAGTGCACTGTGGAACTTAGTGCATGTGTATGTATCTTATGTTGTGAGTTTTTATGTATGTTATGAAATTTTGTACCTTAAGAATATGAATTATGTACATGAAACAAATTAGTAATTGTGTCTTATGTTATAAATTTATTTTTGTATCTTGTGTTGTAAAATTTTATGCCTATGAACTAATGAACACAACTTATATACTTAAATCATATTTGAAAAATAAGTAAATATATAACATGTGTATGTGTCTTGTGTTGTTATTTCTTGTCTTGTGTTATAAAACTATGTACCTTACCAATCGTTATACCGTGCCCAAGGGCGCACATAGCAATGTGCGCCCCGCGTCTTCCAAAACGGCGTCGTTTTGTTAATTTCAGGTATAAAATTCTGTGCACTTTATTATATAATTCTGTACATTCGAAACATGGAAATTTTCAGTTATAAAATTCTGTGTTTCCAGGTATAAAATTCTGTGTTTCCAGGTATAAAATTCTGTGCATTCTATTATATAATTTTGTACATTCGAAACATGGATTTTTTTTTAAGATATAAGAGTTTATGTGTATTATACTAAGAGTTTATGTATATTATGTATTATGTTAGATTATGTGTATTATCCTTTCAAAAAATAGTATGTGTATTCAGTTATAAAATTTTGTGTTTTCAGGTATAAAATTCTGTGTATTCTATTATACAATTCTGTACATTCGAAACATGATTTTTTTTGTAAGGAGTTAACAGTAGACACGCGAAAAGGTACAAAATGACATCATTTTGGGGTGCACGGTATAATTTGCCGTACCTTACAAGTATGAATTCTGTAACTCTCGTTCTGATCCAAAATCCATAATGCAATGTAAACCTTGGTCCATGATATAAACTACTCGGGACGTTATGCCATGGAACCGTGTTCACCATGAATGGTGAACACCGTTCCAACGGTGTTAGTACACCGTTATCTTTTTTTTTTTTTTCTTAATTAATTGCGTGATTTTTCTTCTTTATTTTCACATTTTGCGGTTTCACTTTAATTTGAGGTGAACAAAGATTTCGGACATTCATAAATTATGAATTCATGCCTGCACATTCACTTTGGAACCATGCCTACACATTCCCGTTCGAAATCACGGACATTCATAAATTATGAATTCATGCCTGCACATTCACTTTGGAACCATGCCTACACATTCACTTTGGAACCATGAGATTATGAATTTTCTGTTATAAGATTATGAATTTTCTGTTATGAAATTATGAATTTTCAGTTATGAGATTATGAATCTTCTGTTATGCGATTATGAATTTTCTGTTATGAGATTATGAATTTTCATTACATTCATAATTTCGGACATTCATAAATTATGAATTCATGCCTGCACATTCACTTTGGAACCATGCCTACATATTCCCGTCCGAAATCACGGACATTCATAAATTATGAATCCATGCCTGCACATTCACTTTGGAACCATGCCTACACATTCACTTTGGAACCATGAGATTATGAATTTTCTGTTATAAGATTATGAATTTTCTGCTATGAGATTATGAATTTTCTGTTATAAGATTATGAATTTTCTGCTATGAGATTATGAATTTTCAGTTGTGAGATTATGAATTTTCTGTTATGCGATTATGAATTTTCTGTTATTAGATTATGAATTTTCATAAAATTCATAATCTCATAACAGAAAATTCATAATTTGATCAAACGCACGCCGTTAAATCCACATCCACGAATTTTTTTTTTTTTTTTGCCTAAAAACGACATCATTTTGCCTTATGTTCACCATTCTCGATGAACACGATTTCATGGCATAATTTGCGAAACTACTCTTCCAAGGCCAATCTCTCCATTCCTCCTTGATCCATCCTAGGCCCAATATAATTTCCTCCTATGTTTCATGGGTCTGGCCCCTAGGCCCCATCATTTTGGTAAAAATGAAAAAAAAAAAAAAAAAAAAAAAAAAAAAAAAAAAAAAAAAAGTAATAACAATAAAAACCTAATTAAAAAAAAAAAAAAAAAAAAAAAAAAAACCTTTCTTCCATGAGATATTTTAAAATCTTTATCACTTTGGATTTTTTTTTTAAAAAAAAGGGGGGAAAACCCTTTTATAACACAAAGAGTCAATTTTATTTACTTTCTCAACAACAAAGAGTCAATACCGCATCCACTAAGGCTCAATCTCATGACCTCCCATATGAAAGAGTCATTACATGTCATCTAAGCACGTGAGACTCAATCTCATGATCTCCCATATGAGAGAGTCACTACATACCATCTAAGCACAAGGTACTTTGCTAATATAATAACATTTGGATGCATTTATATTAATTTTTTTTTCCACCAAACAAATGATAAAATATAAAACTACTTTTTCACACATACAAGTCGAGTTAATTCCATAAACAGTCCTTTGACTAGTGAGATTTATTAATTTTTATCTTTTAACTTTTAATTAAATCATAAATAGTCGTTTGACTATTGACATTTACTAATAGTCATTGACTTTCAATTTAGCCATAAATAATCTCTCAACTATTGATTTTGTTCCAAATTTGGTTCTCCAATTAAATATTCATAAATAGTCAAATGACCATCTATGGTCCAATTGAAAGTCAAAGATAAAAATTGATAAAAATCAATAGTCAATTGATCATTTATGATCCAATTGAAAGTCATAATAAAAAATTGTAAATGCCTGCTTGGGAAAGCTATCCATATAGAGTTAATAATACCAAGGATTAGATGAACCTAATTTGATTACCAAATATCAGTAGATGTTTTACAATAATATAAGCTAGCCACCAAAATAGTGACTGATACATAAACTTCAAGAACATATACTATTCATATTGTTCTGAAGAATCTGCAGTGATTCTTAAAAGCTCTGGCATGTCTACCATATCAACAATCACTTTCATATATATATATATATATATATATATATATATATATATATATATATATATATATATATATATACATGCAGGCATGCATAATTTCAGGTTGCAGGTTTAACTTGTAAACATATAAACTATTCTTGGCTTATAAAACCCAATTAAAGAAAGAACAAACATAATTTCAGTAATTACATTCCGAGTGTCGGAGAAACTCTTTAAAGACCATTACAGAGACAAAATTAAGAAAAGTTTTACGTGTCAGACAGAGCTATCTTAAAACGTAAAAACCATTATTCATATTGTAGTGATCCAGAGTATTCAGATTCTTGTAAGATGGCAAGAATGATTAGTGTGCTTTCAAAACTAATTTCAACTATTTGATTGCAGATGTTCAATAAAGCACAATAGTTTATAGTTTTATTTTAACCTCAAAATGAAGGAGGGTACACAAGAAAGCATGCATCGAGCTCATCCACTGACAATCAGATACCTACGGCTCTCCTCCAAGCTCCACTTTCAGGTTGTCATATGGGTATACCTTCGGTGTCTGATCAAGAAAAGAACATGTAAAGAAGTGAATCAACTTCAGGCAAATAATAAGAAAACTAGAATGAGAATACCAACAGAAACAAGGATAAGAGGGCACAAAGGAGGCTAGTTAGTCTGCTTATCTATTGCATTTGCCATTTAATCTACTATGAAAGTTGAATGTCATTCTGCACTTCAAAGAGGTAGAACAGAGAGAAGAGAAATAAGATATGGCCAACTGGGCTTTCTTTCAAAGTTAGATCAGTAAACTGCAGCTATACCCCAACAGCACTTGATTTCAAACTGCTACAATAGAGATTAATAACATAATTTCTTTAGGTGGGCTGTAGATTTTAACTTTTAGGGGGCGTTTGGTTCATGTTATATAACATAACCAAGGGAATGTGACATTCCAAAGCTCACATACCAGTGTTTGGTTCATATTATCTTAGGGAATCTGACATTCCCAAGGAATGTCACATTCCCTCCACATAGGATTTTGAAGGGAATGTGATTCCCTTCAAAATCTTAGGTAATGTAAGATAACCTTAGTTATGTTAGTTTATTTTATATATATATATATATATATATATATATATATATATATATATATATATATATATATATATATATATATATATATATATATATATATTTTATTATGTTATATTAGCATATAAAATAATTTTGTTTCTCAAGTTCAAGATTTTAGTTAATATTTTAAAATCATGTAATTATATATGATACCGTTATCTTATTTATTTATTTTAATTTTTAAATTTATTAAAATATGTTAAGGATATTATAGTGTGTATACAAGATAATCCTAAACCAAACAAGATTATATTACATACCCCAATTTTAACCAAACACAGGAATCTAACATTCCCAGTAATCTAACATTCCCAGCAATCTAACATTCCCTAAGGTAATCTGACATTCCGTGAACCAAACGACCCCTTAATATTACTCTGTGTTGTGTGAATGGTTTGAAGATGGTTTTGACAAAGTGTAGGGTGCTGAGGATCAAGAAAAGGGTATTAAGGGTCTTTGCAATATTAAAGGAGATGCATCAACTATTATCTGCTCAAGAGTGAGCATGTTGTCAAGTGGGATATAAAAAAAAATGACGGTAGAATAACAGCAATAATCTTTTATGTGAGGCTGAAACATATGAGAGTAGGCAGTTCAAACAGAAAAGTGTCAAAGACATCATTATCAATCACAATAATAAAGATATGAAAGTAAAGTTTCTCATGGATAAAGTATAAATACAGGGTTTTCACAAGGATGACAGAAAATACAATTTTCAACATATCAATTTTGTATCATCTCTTAGAGGAATTGGCATATGTATTATGTATAAGCACACATAAATTGAATAACTAAGATACAGAAAGGCATATATTTGACTGAGTTATGAAAGGATTATATACTAAATTTCTAGAAGGCTTGGCATGTCTATAATCAAATTCCTAAAGATAGTTTTCAGTAGGTGGCAGATCAAAGGGATTTCCTTGATTTCATATAAGAAATACAAAGACTACAAGAGAGCACTTCCACAGAAAATAAAAAATGCAAAATGTCTCGTTTTATTTCATGTATACTTTTTAGCTTAGTGCCCTGGAAAGTTATTATCTTTTAAGTATTTTATTATGAAGAAAAGAAAATAAGGCATTCAAAGGACAAAACCTTTGCACCTAGAAAAAAGTAAATACATAATCTTACACATACCCAACAAATAGCACTGCCGACACAATATGATATCAACAATCATGCAAAGATACCCAATTCTTCATGTTAGTCATGTATTTCGTGTTAACTTATGAAGATAGTATAGCACAAGCAAGTATGACTATCCTCTACAGCAGCAAACCATCGTCATTCCCTTTTGACAAAAGGCTCTCTCAGTTGAGAGCATTATGCAAAGAGACCACACAATGAAAGCAGCATCATAACATATCTTGGCGCAAGTAGATTTAATTTATTTAATTTGAAACATATATGCCATTGCAACTTGATTTCATCCCTTAATACACAATATGTAAGCTAATCTGATACAATGGCAATAACCAAACAAGAATAAATGAACGTTGTAACTCACAAATGGGATTTTGGAAGCTTTGTCATTCCAGACAGCCATCAGTCCAAGAGAAGCAAAAAATCCCAATCCACCACACATCCAAGCCAATGCTTCATACTGATCCAACAAATAACACAATTAAAAAAAAAAAAAGAAAAAAAAAAAAAAAAAAAAAAAAAAAAAAAAAAAAAAAAAAACTCAATTTAGCAATGCTATATCACCTCAAAAAACAAATCAATAGAAGGAAAAAGCACAAATCTAACCTTTCCAACGGTATCGGCAATACGATCAATACAGGGTTCCGGGAACGGAGTCCCATTGTCCCACATGAGTTCATCATTCACCGGGAGCTAAAATGAAATCAAAACGCCGAAACTTAATTAGGGCTTCATACTCTAATAACTAGAAATGCAAAGAAAATTCACACTCATATTACATAAACTATCAATGTATCTATTTGGGGAATGGAAAATTACAGGTTTATCGGGAACAATATGTTTGCCGACGGGGAGGCCCATGCCGGCGCGAGTACGAAGGGAGGAGGCGACGGAGCGCGCGACGACTCCTCTACCGCCCATGATGTGCGCCGCTGCTTGGCTCAATCTTCCGGCCATTTTCCGATGATCGGATCGCTCGCTGATTTGGGGATTTCAGTGCAGAATCAGGTAGGGTAAATGTTGTTGAAGCTTACCTATCAGATATCAAAGGAAGGAAGGCAGGAAAAGTTATTTCCATATAAGCCCCATGTAAAATAGGTTATTATATATCACCCCCAAACAGAGTTCAAAAGTTCTTGCCATGATGCTAGTGAAATTGTTAACTGAAAAAATATACTCCGTAGATAATTTTAATTTTAGTATTTTGGCTGTTTTATTTTAATAATTTGTGTTGAATTGATTAAATTTGATCTTTTAAAAATTGAAATTTTTTCAATTCTTTTTATCAAAACAGGAGACCCAAACTTAGGCACTCTTCCTCGCTCTTCACTCTATGGGTGCTCGTCACCTGCACTATATCAGTAAAAACAAACTCTTCTAACTCCGTAATTTTTGTCTTAATAAAGAATAAAAATGTGTCATTTTTATACATACTAAGTAAATAAGAATAAATAGAATTACAATAATATAGGTTATCTATAGAACTAGAGTCCATACGAAAAATAATAATTTTAGACTATTTCGAGACGTATCAAAGAGTTGTAGTCACTATTAAGAAATTTATTTTGAGTCATCCAATTAGTACATCGATTTGTTGCGCGGGGTATATGCTTAAATATACATCCCCAATATCAATCAATTAACTTTCGAATAGCATTGGTTGTGTTACAATTTAGGTCAAAACAATCATCTATTTTGTTAAGCGTTGAATTACAAGCAAAATGTCCTTACATGTCTTCTTTTTTTTAATAATAAAGAATTTAATTTAATTGATTTTGGTCGTGCTACACACTATTATACATGAACAAAATGTACTAGTGTACACTCTTGAATAGTAATTATAGGTTTCCTTCTTCACCATTCTAGTAAAAATAACTTAAATTAAACTTTTCTCATTAATAATTTGTTACATAAGATTTGCATTCACCAACTCTCTTCAACAAAGATACAAAATAGTGGAATACAGAGCATGGATAAGTTAGACAAAAGTGAAAAGCCCCACAGATCCAACAACAATAAACTTAGAAGTATAAAACACAATAACCACACTTATGTGTAATATATCATGGCATGGGCTCATCCTATGATCAAATTTCCAACTGGCTTTGGACCTCCAATATGGTCTTAGCAGACTCCCTAAGCTTCTGCTCTTCCTCCTCAGTAAGGTGCACGTTGGTAACGCCCAACACGCCCCATCTCCCGAGCTGCGATGGCAAGCTCAAGAAAACTTCGCCCCCCTCGATGCCATAGAACCCCTTGGCGAGGACCGAGACAGGGTGAATCCTTCTCTGGTCACGAAGTATGGACCGAGCCAGGTTAGCCACAGAGTAGCCAATTGCCCAAGAGGTGTAGCCTTTCAGACTGATCACTTCATACGCACTCTGCACCACGTCTCGGTGGATGTTCTCCAGCGTTTCCTTCTCAAACGCAATCTGTTGCCTCTCAAGAAAGCTTAGAACCGGTACCCCTCCTATGCTTATGCTTGACCACAGCGCCACTGAACTGTCACCGTGCTCCCCAACAATGTACGCCTGGTGCAAGAACCCACAATTCAAGTTACCATTGGGGGCAGCAGATAAAATTTACCACACAGTTTCCCTATGACAGTAAGAAATCAACAGCCAAGACTAGCTTTTGGTAATGAAAAGAACAGCTGCCCTCAGTGCCCTGGTGGCTTATACCATTCATTTACATATTTGAAACTTTGTCGAACCAAACGTGATTAGCAGACGCAACCATTAAAAGATGGAAAGTGACAGCAAAACAATTGAATCAAATCGCAAGTTGCAGGAGTCAACTGGGCATATTTCAGGGCGATTTTGATAAGAGATACTAACTATATAATGTCACTGTCCTATGAATAAGTAAATAAACTGCAAAAACATATGGCAGCTCAAGGTTTGTTATCTTCAGGAGAAAAAGAAATTGAAAGGTATTGGTTCACGAAAAGATTAGGTTGCTTTCATCAAACCATTGGCGACGAGCTGACACAAGAACTAATTCTGAGTAATTTATCTTTTTCCCAACTTTCTGCAATTTAGCACTGCTCTATAGTCTATACTGAACCAATAAAGATTGTAGTTCTCGTTGGGTGACTTATCGTTTAAGGTTGATTAAGGTTTCTAACATGGTATGGATTTCCAAATTATTTCTGCAACTTAGTACTGCTCTTATAACAAAATCAAAGCTTGTAGTTTCTACTGAGTCTCACATCACCTATCTGTCTGCTTTGAATGCAGTTTATTAGCCTGTTAAGACTCACCATTTTAGAAGCTAGCTTTTGAAGTTGATTAAGGTTTCAACATGTGACATCACTTAATTTTCTGTAAAAGACCCGAGAAGGTTAACCAGCTTAAGTTAAGCATAGTTGATTCGCTTAAACCAAAAAAGCTAATAATCTGCTCGCACCTAGAGTCGATTTGAAATCTTGTAGTTATCGAGTTTCCCCTAATTTTCTAAATTTCTAAACAATATCAATTGGCATTATAAATGATTTCATTAAGGCTGTACTAATGGAGTATACTTGCTAATAATAATAATAATAATAATAATAATAATAATAATAATAATAATAATAATAATAATTCCTTTAAAAAATAATAATAATAATTATTATTATTAAAAATAAACTTACTTGAACGTCCTGAGCATTGACATCAAGGTGATCAGCAATGAGGGATCGGAAGCGGGAAGAGTCCAGGTTGGTGCCCGACCCGATGACCCGATTCGGTGGGAAGCCGGAGAGCTTCCAGGCGATGTAGGTCAGTACATCCACCGGATTGGAAACGATGAGCAGAATAGCATACTGAGAGTATTTAGCCAGCGGCGGAATGATGCTTTTAAACAACGAACAATTCCTCTGGATGAGATTCAGGCGGGTCTCGCCCGGGTTCTGTCTGGCACCCGCCGTGACGATGACGAGATCCGACCCGGCCGTTATGGAGTAATCGACGGAGGCGTGGATCTTAGTGCGCGGGAGAAAGGCGGCGGCGTGCTGGAGATCGAGCATTTCTCCGCGGAGCTTATCGGCCTTGGCGTCGACTAGGGCCAGCTCGTCGGCGAGATCCTGCGTGAGGATCGTCTGCGCTATAGCCATGCCGACGTTCCCGACGCCTATGACGGAGATTTTGGTGTGTCGCTTGGTGGGAGACGGCGGCGCCGCGTTCTGAACGGACTTGAAGAAGGCCTGGTTTAGGTCCAGCCCGCCCGGACCCAGTGAGGAAGACGATGAACTCTTATGCATTGTAGAATTCTATGATGCTCTGCAATGGCGTATAGTTTCTAGCTGAAGAAGAAAGAAGAATATATTTGCAGTATATATAGAAAAATCCAGTTGTCTTCAACGGTCAACGTTCAGAATCCACGAAATTGAAAAACAGAGGCCAATGACTAATTTTCAAGATATTTTACTAGGAAATGTAATATCGGTCAATAATTATTTTTTCAATTTATTGAAACATAAAGAATCAATACTGTTTCTATATTAGGATTGAACCCATAAGTCCATGACTACTACTAAACTATAACAGAGTGTTTGATTGAGGGAGGGAATTACGTGTAAAATGAATTGCAATGTCATCGGGGATAAATTACAAGGAATAAAGTTGGAATTTAAATTTCAATGTTTAATTTATAAGAATATAATTATTGAGAATTTCAATTTTAATGTTTGGTATACATGAGAATTGAAAAGGGAATAAGTAATATAAAGTCTAAAATATTTATTGTTGTTGTGGACATTAATTTTAAGTTTTTTTTTTAAAGAGGTAATTTTGTCTCATGATTTTTTTTTTCTTCTTAAAATCTATGGAATTAAAAAATTCTAATGAGACGTGAGATTTTAATTCCATGAAAATAAGGGAACTGTAAATCCATAGAATTGTAATTTCTTCCAATTAAGTGAGAATTAAATGAGAACGAAATTTAAATTCCCTTCAAAATCAATCACAGTGTAAGGTGATTGACAATTTTCAAAGAATTAATTTAAAAAAAAAAAACAGTAAAACATGTTGAAATATAAAATATTGCATTGCTGCTTTTTAGGTCATCAACATTATATTTATAGTACGGTTTAATATATAATAATAGTTCTAAAAAAGTATAAATATATAAATTGTGTTTTTAAGTCAAAACACATCACAACTATTAAGATCATTAAATTTTAATTGGTATTTAAAATGAGCTTATGAATACAAAACAAGGTAATGAATTATATATATGTTAACATTGTGTGTTCGTAATATATAAATTGTAAATTTTTAAAAATTAAATTGTGATAGTTTAATATGTAAATTATGGACATTTTTATACGGGTCTACTGAATAATTTATGCACACATAAAGAATGTGTTGCATACAATAAATAAAGCATATTAATATGTAACCTAATTATCAATTTAAATTTTAATAAATAGAAAGCACATCATTATTCAATCCACCATTACTAAAGTTTAATGTTTAGAAACATATGTTTAAAGTTTAAACCAAGGTACATGTTTTCAAATATTATTATCATATAATTCACACATTTCACATTTGTCCCCACAGGGTGAAAAATATAATATCTCTCGTCCCTATTTAAGAAATTAAGAATTCACTTGTGGCCTTAGAAAAAAATCCATTGGTTGAGTATTTTTTAAAAATGAGTATAAATTTAATAAGCAATCAAAAGAAACTTTTATAAGCAATCCAAAGTATAACCACAATAAGCAATCCAAAAAAAAAAAAAAAAAAAAAAAAAAAAAAAAAAACAAATTTAATAAGCAATCAAAAGTATAACCATAATTCAACTGAATTACCATGATTTATATTCTTCCAAATATTATGTCGAGACAGTTTGTGAAGCTCTTGAAATTAGGGATTCAACTTTTTAAAAAAAATAATAAGATATCATTACGTAGTGTAGAATTTTTATAAGTTGAAACCTTGGGAAAAGTCTTATTAGTTGGGAGGCTTTATTTTAATGACTAATTACACTTTTTGAAATACAATGGGCGGTATGTTGTAACCGAGTAAACCGACAACTTTTATTTATTCTGGAATTTTACCTTAGTATAACTAATGACTAATCCTTAGACATTGATTTTTTTTTTCCAGAAGAAATATGTTCCACTTGTTGAACAAGAAATATGTTCTTGTTCCAGAAGTAAATAACTTTCCAGCCGTCTATGACCTTCCAATAAATTTCGTAAAATATTTCAAAACCATATTGAAAAAAGAGTAAATACCCAAAATAGTCCCTCGACTATACTTAAATTCACAAATTGGTCATCGACTTTCAATTTCAACCAATTAAGTCCTTAACTTTGTAATTTTGACACGATTTGGTCCTCCATCTATTTGACTGTTTGTTGACTGTGATTTTTGAGGATATATATGTAATTTCATGGTCCATCGTCGATTTTTTAAGGTTCCGGTTGCATTTCCAGACCGCACTGTTACATTTGAATCCACTGCCGAAAGCAATCTACCAAGTCCGATCGCCTTTCTTCATCCTCCCTTTGGATTCAATGTAGTTGAGTTCGTACAAGAGCGAAGAAGACGGCGCGTTTCCGAACCAGTGCAACGTCATCCTGGAGGCCTCCACGTGCTCCGACGAGAGCTGAAGGTTCTTCTGGAGATCGTCGATCACGGTCAACAAACGGTCAAATAGATGGAGGACCAAATCGTATCAAAATTGCAAAGTTAAGAACTTAATTGGTTAAAATTGAAAGTCGGGGACCAATTTGTGAATTTAGGTATAGTCGAGGGACCATTTTGGGTATTTACTCTTGAAAAAATATATTAATAAATAGTACATTGACAGGCTTTGACAGGCCCGCGTTTCAACAGCTCAATCATTATTGCATGGATCATGGTTCATACAATTGTGTGGATCATAAATAAAAAGTACATTTTTAATATACTATGAGTACATTATTTTTATACGTATGATACATTTTTAATATACTAAGGGTACTATAATGTACCTTCAGTACGAAAATAATGTACTTTTAATTTATTAAAAATGTACATGATATTTATAGTTCACACAATTGTGTGGACCATGGTCCACACAATAATTTACGTCAATAGCTCTACTCCATGGTACTTGGAGCATATGTCAACCGGCCCAAATGTAGATGTCTCAATCGTTATGCCGTGGAATTGTGTCCACCTTGTAAGGTGGACACAGTTATATGTTCATAATTACTGAACTCTATATTCATAATTTTTGAACTTCATATTCACAATTATTGAACTTTATATTCATAATTACAAAACTCTATGTTTATAATTACTAAACTCTATGTTCATAATTATAAAACTCTGTCATAATTTTTGAACTTCATATTCATAATTATTGAATCTTTATATTCACAATTACAGAACTCTATGTTCACAATTATGTTCACAACTCTATATTCATAATTATAAAACTATATGAATTGAGTTTATAATGTTTTACTGTAATTCCATAAGTGAATACAAAGCTATTTATAGACAAGCTTTAACAAAGAAATAGATAACCACTTCAGAATAGCCTCTAACTACACAGGAATATCTAACTAATATCTAACTGCCTAATACTCCCCCTCAAGTTGAAGAGGGACACGGGACCACGCCAAGCTTGCACCGTAGATCACCAAAGCGAGACGAAGAAGGGGGCTTGGTAAAAATGTCCGCGAGCGGGTCATTGGTAGAGACAAAGTTCACCTTTAAGGCACCAGTCGTCACTTTATCCTGAACAAAGTGGTACGGTCCGTTGCTTTCTAGATGTCCAAGAAACAAGATTGGGGCCTAGAAACATGGCGTAGCCCGCAATGGACTTCCGATCTAGAGAGCAGTCAGCCCAGTCAGAGTCTGAAAAGGCATACACTACCGAAGAAGACGACGGTGTGAGACGGAGACACAGATTCTGCGTGCCTTGCACGTAGCGCAACACCCGTTTGAGTGATGCCCAGTGATCCTGCGTTGGCCATGCATGCATTGACACAGGCGATTCACAGAGAAAGACAAATCTGGGCGAGTGATTAGTAGATACATCAGGGATCCAACAAAACGTCTGTACGACGTTGGATCGTCGAGGAGAAATGACCGCACAGTAGAACTAGAAGTAGCTAGCGCCATTGGAGTGGATAACGGCTTGCAAGATTTCATGCCGGCTTTGCGTAGGAGTTCCGACATGTACCGCTATTGTGAGAGCATCAAGCCATCTTTGGTATAAGTAGGCTCGATGCCTAAAAAGAACCGAGGCCGACCCAGATCCCGAATGCGAAATGAAGTAGACATATGGGCCATAACACTGTTGATCATGTCGAGTTTGTTGCCAAGCAGGAGAATATCATCCACGTAAACTAACACATACGCCCGTACCTGTCCAAAGTAAAAAATAAATAAGGAAACGTCTGTTTTGGACGGACGAAACCCAACTTCTAGCAAAAAGTCGTGCAGCCTCTTAAACCACGCACGAGGGGCCTGTTTAAGCCCATACAGCGAGCATTGTAGTTTACAAACATGTTCAGGAAAGTTCGGATTTGTATAGCCGGGTGGTTGGCGCATATAGATGTATTCGTCAATGCGCTCATTTAGAAAGGCGTTGTGGACATCCAATTGGCACATAGTCTACTTATTCGACACGGCGAAGGCCAGGAGTAGCCGAATGGTGGGTCGGTTTGACCGCCGGACTATACGTTTCGGAGTAATCCTCGCTCGGCACTTGGTTAAACCCCTTGGCCACGAGTCGGTCCTTGTAGCGGTTGATGGTGCCATCGGATTTCCATTTAATACGAAATACCCATTTGCTGCCTATTACATTTATGTCACGACGTGGGGGGAACTAGACGCCAGGTTTGGTTTTGTAGTAAGCCGCTGAACTCAGTGTCCATTGCCGCTTGCCAACGTGAGGATTTAACAACTTGCGAGTGACAGGTGGGCTCATCGTCATCTATGGAGGTCGCCATTGAAGTCGGGCGTTATTCCGGATACTGTCGCCGTGCATGGGTTGATGTTCGTAGCTGCATAACATGAGTCCGGACATTAGGCCTCACGCCATGGCGCCTGCCTGTGGTAGTTGATGAAGTCGTCGGGTGAAATGAAGAGGAGGCAATGCCTGCTGTCGAGGAAGAAGTCGACAGACTCGACAATTGCGACGGGTGTGGCAGATTCACGACCGGTGAAGGCGCCTGCATGGGCTGGACTGGAGATGGGGTATGCAAGACTGGAGCACACGCCCAACGAAGCGTAGTCTCTTTAGCTTTAGGTCCAGTCTGGACTGCAGGGTGTGCGGTCGCATAGGGAAAAACCTCCTTATTGAATCGCACATTTCGAGCAATGTAAATGCGACCTGAGTTCCTGTCCAAACACCTATAGCCAAGACATGTGATGGTTTTATTGGGACCGGGTCCACTATAAACCGGGTATAGGAACATAGGACAAGGGTAGGGCACTAGGCCCAGAACAATACGTACAAAAGCCCGAGGTACATACCCAGGCGGCCCAAATACAAAGAACAAGGCCCACAGGATAGGGTATAGCTAAATATGCTACTTGCAGGAATCGAACCCAGGTGGTTGGGTTGAGAGTATGAGATCAAGACCACTAGACCGTAGTGCCTATCGTGTCTGAGTTGCCCTTAGCTAAGGATCCGGGACCCCTATTTATAACCTGCCCCCTCCCCTCCTGGGCCTCCACGTGCCCCACGTGCTTTAGTCGCCACTCCCTCATTTTCCGTACGCCAATCTGCACGTCCACCATGCTTCATAAATTCCCGTGCCCCTTACACGCACCCTGCACACGCATCCCCCACTCCAGGCCGCCGGGCAACCCGCCAGAACGCCGTAGGCCGCGCCCCCTCCACGGGGTGCTGAGCCCGCGCCCAGCCAGCGTCCCGCTCTGGCTGCGGGCGCCGGCGACCACCGCCCTCACGTCCCTGCGCGAGGGCGTCCAGCCGCCGTGCCCCTAGGTCGTGCGCCGGGTGCGGTGTCGCCAGCCGGGGCCAGCGACCCGCCCCTGGCCGTGGGCGGTAGTGGCCGCCGCCCCCGTGCCCTCGGGTGGGGAGCGCCAGGCCCGCGCGCTGTGGTCGGCTGGGGCCAGTGCCCCAGCCGGCGGTTCTTCTGGCCACGGCAGCCGGCCGACGCCGGCCACCCCACGGCCACCTACCTCCCCCCCCCCCCCTCACGCCATACCTACCTCCCCCCTTCAGGTCCATGCTCTTCACCCCGGCCCACCATGCGTGCTTGTCTTCCTAGCCCAACAAAACTTGGGCCAACCTCCTTCTTTCACCACCCCCAGTTGGGCCAATACTTTCCCAATAAAATGGACCCCCTTGGGTCCCATATCCCCATCAACATGAATATGGATATCCCAGAAAAACACATGAAGTAGACCGGTTGTCCATTTTGTGTTTATTGTATAGATGTAGGCACGGGAAGCATTCGCACTCGAACACACGTAACAAACTGTAATTAGGAGACTTGTAGTATAACTGGGAGTAGGGACTGACGTTTTGGGAAACAGTATAAGGTAGACGATTTATTAAATGAACGACAGACTCGAAGGCAAACAACCAATATTTTTGTGGTACATGGCTTTGGGCAAGTAGAGTTAGCCTAGTTTCGACAACGTGACGGTGTTTACGCTACGGTCTTTCTGCTCGTGTGTGTGTGCGGCGACGACTGTCGGTGTAAAATTCTTCGCCGTGTGTAATTTTCGGTATTCACAGCCCATATCCGACTGAACACATTTAATAGTGGTCGAAAATGAATTTTCCACTAACGCACGAAATTTAGCAAATATAGAATAGATATCCGATTTAGACTTCATTAGATAGTACCCAAAAAATCGAGAAAAATCGTCCACACAAAGGACAAAATACCTAAAACCATCTATAGAAGGTACCGGTGACGGTCCTCAAATGTCAATGTCCGTGAATATTAAATCCAGTACAGACTGACTCGATATCTCAATACGCGTGAGTGGGAAGCGCACAGACTTACCCATTTGACACGCGATACACAATGAGTTTATTGAATGTAACGAACCACTAACAGGACAGCTAGTAAGAACCTGACGTAGGACTCGGGTATGGGGGTACCCAAGTCTATTATGTCATATTGTGGGAGACGTTTTGGCTGAGAGTAATGCAACTGGAGAATACGCGGTGAGTGAGTACATCCCGCCGTGACTTGGACCTCTAAGAAGAATCTCTCGGGTGATACGGTCCTTCACAACAAAATGGGAAAGGTGAAATTCAAAATAAACAATCGTTGTCACAGGTGAATTTATGTACAGATATTAAAGAGGCCCGTAATTTACGAACATGTGGCCCATAATTTAGGGACATGCAATACACTATTTAGGGACAGTGACTGAGACTTGGGCAATAAACTTAAAGAACCTGTGTTATGAATGGGCAGACCTGAACCATCACCCACGCGCAATGCTCCGTCCCTGGTGTATTGCTCAACATTACTTAACGCCGCTGCATTTGGGGTCGCATGGGCATTAGCGCCAGTGTCCAGGAACCAGAAGTTGGAAAATAAGGCGGTGTTGTAGTCCACTTGAGGCTGATGCGAAACAATGTGAGCTTGTGGCGTTGTGACTGCGAGCCAGGATGCGACGAAGCCATTCGTTGACCATACACATCAACAAACCGCCTGTAACAAGTGAGTCCCGTATGCCCAGGGCCATCACAGAGATGGCAACAAACGCCACTGTCGCGACCACGTCCTCGTCCCCCACCACCTGTTGTTGTGCCCACGACCTCGTCCATTGTTGGAGGGCGACGGGGACTGCTAAGCCACCATTACCGCCGGCTAGAATGAAGAGACAGCGACGACTCATCCGGAAAGAGGCATTGGTGAGTCGCTAAGAGATCCACTACCTCAAGAATCGTAAGTGGTGCGCTTTTCGTCGTGAGAGAGGCGACAAGGCCGCGGTACTGCAGTCGAAGGCCACAAAAAACATGGAGGTTCTGCTCATCAAGGCCAATTGGACGGCCAGCTTGAGCTAACTGCTCAACTAGAACCTGCGCCTTACTGAGATACGCCACCGAAGAGGAGTCGCCTTGCCGGAGACTCTGTAATTGAGTGAGCAAACTGAGCGACCGAAACGAGAGGTGGACCCCAACACCGTTTCAACCACGACCTAGACGGCACGCAACGTGGAATGGCCAATTGCGAGGTAGAGAACCTCCTCCGACATAGACGATATGAGCATGCTGAGGATCGATTGACCCTGTTGGACCCATATCGCATGGCTCGGATTTGCAGTAGGCATGGCAGTCGACGATGATGATGCAACGAGGAACTCCGGTGGATAGGTATGAGTGCCATCAACATCAACGTAGCCATACAAGTTGTATCCACGCAAGAAGGGGGAAGAGAAAATTCGAAGAAGAGAGCATGCTGAGGATCGATTGACCCTGTTGGACCCATATCGCATGGCTCGGATTTGCAGTAGGCGTGGCAGTCGACGATGATGATGCAACGAGGAACTCCGGTGGACAGTTATGAGTGCCATCAACGTAGCCATACAAGTTTGATCCACTCAAGAAGGGGGAAGAGAAAATTCGAAAAAGAGAGCACCTGCTGCAGCATAGTCGAGGGTCGCTGCTCGGAGATAGTAACAGCAGCCGCCGAACCATCAGTCGAAGTGTTCACCGGAGCCGGGAGAGAGGCCGCTGCTTGGAGATAGTAACAGCAGCCGCCGCCGAACCATCAATCAAAGTGTTCAATCAAAGTGTTCGCCGGAGCCCGGAGAGAGGCCAAACCATCAGTCGAAGTGTTCCCCGGAGCCGGGAGAGAGCCGAGAGAGAGGCCGCTGCTCGGAGATAGTAACAACAGCCGCCGAACCATCTGTCGAAGTGTTCACCGGAGCCGGGGGAGAAGCATTGTCAATTGCGGTCATAGGATCGAGAATGACAAACTGATACTAGATTGAGTTTATAATGTTTTACTGTTATTCCATAAGTGAATACAAAGCTATTTATACACAAGCTTTAACAAGGAAATAGATAACCACTCCACAATAACCTCTAACTACACAGGAATATCTAACTGCCTAATATCACTGTATATCCAAGAATAATTATTGACAACCTAAGATTTCTGAACTACCTGACTTTCCCCATTCTTAATCATTCAAGAGCAGGTAATCCTATAGAAACCATGTTACAACACATATGAAATGAAATCTCAAATTAATTATATTAAAAGAAACAAGGAGAAATAAACAAAGGTGAATCCAAATAATTATTAAGATAATCTGCCACATTCTGGGAATATAGTCAACTTGTCTGCAACTATACACAGTTAAATGCTATACATAGTGAAGCTAAAACTATTATCTGTAAAGCAAACAATAAAAGTGAACTTGGTTTTGATGAGTAATGGCAAAGCTGCAAAGAAAGTTTTCCCGTGGCAGTATTGGAGGTCTAAAGCATGGTGTTGTCACCGAATGTGTTCTCCCCGCTGTAGGTGACATAGAGGAAACCATCTTCGTCCTTCTTCTCGTCATATACAGCAGACATGAGTGCTCCTGCGGGGGCAAAGAAGTAGAGAGGAATACAAAGTTCATGTTAAGATTTCAGCAGTTTATGCTAAACAACAGCAATTTGGAAGAGCCACTTCGTGTCACTAAACCACAAGGTCATTGGCAGTTTGATGGCATTATTCTAAACGGGTTTTCGCAATATTTATCACTTACCTGTTGGTGGGAGGACATTATCAACAAATATGAAAATTGCTTTCTCCGGGCTCAACTCAATCCTTTTGCGAATCACATACACGAATTGCCCTACCGTGAGGTCAGAAGGGACGAGATACCTGTAAGTTTGTCAATTAGACACCAGCAAGAGAGAGAGGCCAACAGGGAAATTTACCGTTTGATGAGATGATCATAGAGTAATAATGGTCATGGTGAGACGAAGCAAAAGAAAAGCAACCTCAAATTTTAGTTTTCGAGTTGTGTTAGGCACATAAAAAATGAAAGGAGAACCCTCGGAGTGAATCAAACATCTCTAACAGACTAAGACAAAAATCCCTTCTTTGAAGCTTGTGTCCCTCAACTGATTAACACTGATATCTATGATAATAGGAGTTCTAATTTTGCCCTCTATCTGGCCAAATTAAATAAATAACTTCAAACGTAAACACAAAGGAAGGCTCACTTTTTCTTGTCAATGTTCGGAATGTCGCTTCTCTCTGCCTTCTCAACAATCACCTACAAAACAAAGAAACAAATATACATAGAAATGACGGGGAACTTCCACAATATGAATCTCTGATTGTGTAATTATACATTTATACTCAATTCCTCCCGTTAACAATATTTAGATGTTAGACACTACACAGATGAACATCTTAAACATCCCCCGGTCCATTAGGGAGGGATTCATTATTGATTGAATACAGAACACAGAGAATGGGTAATCATTTTTGCCAGCAACATTGATGAAGCAAAACCAATCCACCATCAATAAGTGATTTGATATATCTCAAGAAAAAGCAATATTGATCAACACAATCAATTAAAACTCTGTCCAATTTCCTTGCATTTTAGGCACCATTTGAAGTTATGGATAAAAAATTTAGGTTAAAACCAATGATTCAAATAAAAAAATTAGGGCAGAAACTTGATATTCTCACCGGAATTCTCTCCGAATATTTTTCCCTAATCCGGCTAGCCTCAACCCGCCTCTTCTCTGAAATTATTCCACTCAAGAAAATTAACACCAATTCAGCTACTACACAAACACAAACACAAAGCAAAATCATACAAACCAAGATCATGCTGTTGCTTGAATGAACTCTTCGCCATCCCGTCCGATTACAGCAACCTAAAAAGTTGAAAATCTTTTCATTAATTCCGAGTACCCAAACACGATCATAATGCTTTCTAAACCAAAGCAGTCATAATCTCGAATCCCTTTTAATTCCGTAGCAATCACAAATCAAACATATCATTACCCAATAAAAATCAAACCAAACACTAGAACGAGAAAAATAATTGCTTTTAATTTACAAATTCAGAACAGCAGCAAAGAGAACGAAGCACTAAACTTAGGTCTCTTGTAATTTCCGCAGTAATTACATCTAAGTTTTGGATTATCTAAGAAAATCTCAAACAATCAATCATCAATGGAAAATACAAAAGTAGAACCAACCTAGAATGATAAAGTTGGAAGAAAGCAGATTCTTTGTAGAGTCGAGTGAATTCTTGTACTCTCTGCTTCTATCTAGTCTAGTGTATATATATAGGGAATAGTAGTGAATGAAGTAGAATTTCAAAAGTAAACAAAATCCTCTTTATTTTCGATTTTATAGGTAATTGGATCGGAAGTAAAATTGTAGAGGAGGACTAAAATAATTTGTATTCTTATAATTTAAAACTTTTTTTTTTTACTTTAATTATTTTAATATAAAATATAATTTACTATAAATAATAATAATAATTTTTCAATAACCTTGTGGTCTGGTGACATGGAGTGACTAGAAAGTTATGGATTTGAACTTTAGTGGAACAGTATTGGCTCTTTGTGCTTAGAGTGTGTTTGGTTCGGGTCATCTTAGATTACCTAAGTAAAGTAATTTGAGTCTGGTAATGTTATATTACCTTGCGGGTCATCTTAGATTACCTAAGTAATCTGAGTCTGGTAATGTTATATTACCTTATTTGATTCAAGTTATAAGATTACCTGGTAATGTTATATTACCTAAAAGCTTGGGCGGTAATGTTTCAAGGTAATGTGATTACCTCAATTTTTTAGGTAATCTTAAATTACCTTGAATTATTCTAACTTTGCCCTTGTTAACTAATCCTTATATTATAATAATAATAATAATAATAATAATAATAATAATAATAATAATAATAAATATATGTTTATATAATCAAATATACATGTGTGTATATTTATATATTTAAATTTTTTTTTAATATTTAAGTATTGATATACATTAATATAATTCATATAAATAAATAAATACACACACATATAAATATAAAAATAATATATATATATATATATATATATATATATATATATATATATATATATATATATATATATATATATATATATATTGAGGACATTATAGTAAATTGATCCATATAATCTAAAATATAACTCTTAACCAAATAAGGTAATATTATATTACACAATCCAAGCCAAACACAGAAGGTAATCTTACATTCCTAAAACCTCACATTACCTTCCTGGAGGTAATCCTATTACTTGGATAATCCAAGATTCCATGAACCAAACACCCACTTAGTAGGTTGTGATACAGATATTATATTGTTTACTACATTGTAACAGAGTCATGTAGATCTTTATATCTTATTTCTAATAATATAAGTTTGGGTATTTTCTTTGGAGGAAGGTTACACTCATTTTTACACCAAATATTTATCTATTTTGTATTTATTTATTTAGGATTAAAGTTGATTTAGGTAAGAAGATTTGCAGGGATAAAGGATAGAATTTTTAACAAAAGATTAAATTGTGTAAAACCATCAAAGTCAATGACTAAATTGAGCACAAAAAGTCGTTTAGGACTAAATTAAGTAAAATCACTATAGTCAAGACTATATTGGGTATTAACTCAAATAATTAATATTTATGAACATATAAAAAATAGTAAATATTGCACTTTTTGAGTGAACTGCTATTCCACTTTAATTGCAATATTCTCTATTTATTCGAGAGCAGGTAATCCTACGGAAACCATGCCACAATAAAGATGAAATGCAATCTTAAATTAATTATATTAAAAATAAAAAACAAAGACAAATAAAATCCAAATGATTACTAAATATCTGCCACATCCTGGGGATATAATCAAACTTGTGTGCAACTATACACAGTTAAATGCTATACATATATAGTGAAGCTGAAACTATTATCTATAGACTATAAAGCAAACTGAAACTATTATCGATAGACTATAAAGCAAACTGAAACTAGATAAAAGTGAAGTCGGATTTAATCCAATAATGGTGAGGCTGCAAAGAATGTTTTCCCGTGGCAGTATTGGAGGTCTAAAGCGTCGTGGTGTCGTCCCCGAATGTGTTCTCCCCGCTGTAGGTGACATAGAGGAAACCATCTTCGTCCTTCTTCTCTTCGTAAACGACAGACATGAGTGCTCCTGTGGGGCAAAGTAGAGAGGAAGAGGAAGTTCGTTTTGAGATTTCAGCAGTTTATGCTAAACAACATGCTACTAGTTCATATGGCATTATTCTAAAGGGGTTTTCGCAATGTGTATCACTCACCTGTTGGTGGGAGGACATTATCAACAAATATGAAGATTGCTTTCTCCGCGCTCAACTGTATCCTCTTGCGAATCACATACACGAATTGCCCTACCGAGAGGTCAGCAGGGACGAGAAACCTGTAAGTTTGTCAATTAGACACCAGCAAGAGAGAAAGGCCAACAAGGAAATTTACTGATTTGATGAGATGATCATAGAGTTATAATGGTCATGGTGAGGCAAAAGCACAAACAAGAAGCCTCAGACTGAATCATATATCTCTAAGACAGAAAAAAATCCCTTCTTTGATGCCCTCATGTCCTTCAAATCTATGATAATCGGAGTTCTAATCTTGCCCTATCTGGCCAAACTAAATAAATAACTGTAAATCTAAGCACAAGGGAATGTCGGCTCACTTTTTCTTGTCAATGTTTGGAATGTCACTTTTCTCTGCCCTCTCAACAATCACCTACAAAACAAAGAAACAAATATACATAGATGAACCAAAACATGAAGCAGAAAGGTCTGGGGAACTTCCACAATATGTATCTGAATCTCTAATTGTGTAATTATACATTTATAATCTATCATTGAGGGATTCATAATCGACTGAATAAAGAACACTAGGAATGGGTAATCATTTTTGCCATCAACATTGTTGAAGCAAAACCAATTCCACCATCAATTAGTGATTTGATATCTCAAGAAAAGCAATATTGATCAATCAATAAATTCAAACTCTGTCCAATTTCCTTGCATTTTAGGCACCATTTGACAACAGAGAAATTTAGGTTAAAAGCAATGATTCAAATACAAAAATTAGGGCAGAAACTTCATATTCTCACCGGAATTTTATCCGGATATTTTTCCCTAATCTGGCCAGCCTCAACGCTCCTCTTCTCTGAAATTATTCAGACAGAAAATTAACACCAATTCAGCTACTACGCAAACACAAAGCAAATTTATACAAACCAAATCCATGCTGTTGCTTGAATAAACTCTTCGCCATCCCGTCTGATTACTGCAACCTAAAAAGTTGAAAATCTTTGCATTAATTCATAATGCTTCTAAATCAAAGCAGTAATAATCTCGTAATCACAAAGCAAACCTATCATTATCATTACCCAATAAAAATCAAACCAAACACTAGAAAGTAAAAAATAATTGCAGTAATTTACTACTTCAGATCAGCAGCAGAGAGAACGAACCTTTTTTTTTTTTGTTGTGCTGAAGAATGATCGGTTTGAAAGAAAGCAGATTATTTGTAGAGTTAAGTTCTTATCCTTTTTGGACTCTGGTTCTATCTAGTCTAGCTATTCAATGAAGTAGAATTTCAAAAGTAAACAAAATCCTCTTTATTTTCGATTTTATAGGTATTGAGATTGAATCGAATGAGAAGAGACGATCAAGTAAAATTGTAGACTTATCACGATCATTAATTTTGGTAAACCGTTGATCATAAATGATTAACGGTTTTAAAATATGCCAACTAGCGATAAATAAGTATGATAATATTTTGGTAAATATTACATTAAATGTACTTTTGTAATTATTCAGGACTTTAGGAAGGTTCTTGCGTGACGCGTGCTTGCTTGTTGAGCAGCAGGTATGGGAAGGCTTGGGCTTCAAGAAAAAAAAAAAAACACTATAGTCAAAATCTATTTAGGTAACTAAAGAATTTGTGATCGAACCAACTCTTTTAAATGGAAGGTCATAGTGTTTAAATCTCAATGGAAAATTTTCAGAAAATAGAAAATAGAAAACATGTTTACTAACACAGTTTTTCATTTTGAAAACGGAAAATAATTTTTGAAAATTTTTGAAAAACTGGAACACACTTAAAAACTGTTTTTGGAATGAAAAAATAGAACCATCTATCATCTATTTAGTTATATGTCACTATAACCATATTATTATAATTACATTCATTATCATCTTATTTTACTTAGCACTATCTTTTATCTTTTCTACTCACTTTACTTATTTAAACATAATTTATTTGCTTACACTTTAAAGTTATACATTATTTATATTATCAAAATTAAGAATTAAACTCTATATAATGTTTTAGATTTTGATTGAACTCAATAGATTATTAGTTCAAATATTTTTAATTATGTAACATCATAGTACAAGTTCAGTCCAAATATCGGATATTGAAATTTCATATACATTAAAATTCAAAGTAAAAGTAACTCTTTGTGTTTCAATGAGTTGAGAAAGTATGTATATATGAATATACTACATTGTAACAAAATCACTTATACTTTAAAAAAAAAAAGTCTATTTATGTATGTCTCTTTTTAATCTATATCAACCAAGTTAGAAAATGACAAAAATGAAATGAGATATTCATTTTAAATTCAAACTTCTGCCCAATTATATTATTGAGGTGCAAATTTTGAAACCTTAATCAAAGAAGATCAAACTTCTTTCACTTGAATATGATCATTGATTTTGTAAATTAGTTTATTTTTAAATAAACAATAAATTGTCATTTTTTTTAATGAAATTTGGTCAATTTATTTATGAATGTTAATTTATTAGATAATGTGTATCTCAATTTATTAAGGAGTATTAGTTAATTTACAAATAGATGGCTATTATACATGTGTTTACAACTCCCCAAATTGATGAATGTTGTTAGATGAATTAAATAAATTTTGTTGGATAAATTGACTAATGTTCCTAACATAATTCTTGAATTGATTTACATATAAATACATAAATATGTTGTTAAAATGCATAAATAAAAAAGTATTTATGAGAATGTAAAAAATTATAAATATGATTTCTAGATGGTAGCTTAGTTATAGAAAAAATATTTTAAAAGAAATTTTATTTGAATAATCATCGGATCAAAGTAATCCAATAGTTTTTACTGTATCTCTCTCAACTCTGTTTGACACGTCTAGCTAAAAAGTTAGTAGCTAATAAACTAACTAATCTGTCTATACACCAAGACTATGTGGTCTAATGGTATCCGAGTTGGACTTCCATTTGGAAGGTTGTGAGTTCGAGCCTCAGTGGAGGCGTTATTGGTTCTCTGTGTTTCAGTAGGTTGAGAAAGTATATGAACAGATACTACATTGTAATAGAGCCAGTAGCATTCAAAAAAAGTCTATACTATATATATAAAAACAAAATCCTGAACTTTAACTTCCCACCCAATTTCTAATAAAATATATTATTTTCTACTTTCCTAATTGTAATATAATTCTACGTTAAAATTTAGAATATATTGGTTCCTACTTTCATATTCGTACTATAATTCTACATTAAAATTCCTATTCGTAATACAATAGGACAATATATATATATATATATATATATATATATATATATATATATATATATATATATATATATATACTATTTTTTTACATGCATTGCGCGATTGGGATAATGTCCAATGTTTTTTTAAAAATAAGTACTTTAAAATATATCAAGGCAATATTATATTGGAATTGTTCATGCATAGATAATTGAATATTAAATTTGTGTATTTAAATAAGCAATTCTAAGTTTACAAATGCAAGATAATATAGTCAAGATTGATTATAATTGTCAATAAAATAATTGTATAGGTATAGTTGAAACCAAATACGGGACATAAGGGAAAGCAAATAAAAATTAGCGCATAAAATATTAAATATATACTATTATTCAAGAGCTAACTGCTGATTGCTAAACAAAGACATTGCGAGATAATTTCCCATTTCAATTTGTTGTGTGATTTGAATACTCTTTTGTCAATAAATCCCTAAGTAGTTAATATGATTGGCTTAATTGTATATTTTTTTATTTTTTTTTAAATAATAATTATTATTATTTTATATATATATATATATATATATATATATATATATATATATATATATATATATATATATATATATATATATATATCCTTAGGTCATTTTACATGTTAATCTAAACAACTAATTTTTTCAAATATATTTTTACTAATCGTTGATATAATTCGCTGATCAAATTCGCTAATATAATCCGCTAACTGCTGATTGTCAAACAAGGACATTGCGAGGTAGTTCTCACTTCAATTTGTTGTGTGATTTGAATACTCTCTTTGTCAAAAAAATCCCTCACGTAGTTAATATGATTGGCTTTATTAATTATATTTTTTTTTAATTTTTTATGATATTAATAAAATACTTGGTAAATAAATATATAGCATCATTTTGTATTATAACTTTGATATTTAATTAAAAAATAGTGCACAAAAAAAGATAATAGACAATGTAGTGAATACAATCAATTGATGAATTTGAATGTAAAGAATTTGTACATTGGAGAAATATAACTAATAAAATTATTTCTCTTAATTAATTTATTGATAATGGATAATTTTTTTTTTAATAAAATCATTGTAGGGACAATGTAGCGAATATAATCAATTGATGAATTTGAATGTAAAGAATTTTTATATTGGAGAAAAATAAATACAATATAATATAACTAATAAAATTATTTAATTTCTCTTATTTAATTTATTGATAATGAATAATTTTTTTTTTTTTTGAATAAAGGCATTGTAGACACATAATTTTAAATTAAAAAAATGCATATGTATTATTTTTTGTTGTAGCTACTAATTATTATTTAATTTAATAAGAGTAAAATAGAGTACTAATTATGCCAACTTTGATTGAGATGAGGTTCGATCCTAAGACCTTTCTTATTGAAATGAGTAAGTTAATGGTGAACTAACAGAAATTAACAGAAAAGTTAACGGATAATCATATTCATTAAGGATAAATTAGGAAATCTTAAGGAAAAATTAAAATTTGATCAATCTGAACTATTCATTTGATTAAAAAATTTGACGGCCATTTTTTCTACCCATTATAGACCTAACTCTCTTGGGCTCTTATTAGTATACTAGTTTTTTACGCGCATTGCGCGATTTGGATAATGCCCAATGTTTTTTTTTTTTTTTAAAATAAGTACTTTAAAGTATATTATATTGGAATTGTTCATGTATAAATAATTGAATGTTGAATTTGCATATTTAAATAGGTAATTCTAAGTTTACAAATGCAAGATAATATAGTCAAGATTGATTATAATTGTCCATAAAATAATTGTATAGGTATAGTTGAAACCAAATACGGGACATAAGGGAGAACAAATAAAAATTAGGGCATAAAATATTAAATATATACTAATATTGAAGAGCTAACTGCTAATTGTCAAAAAGGACATTACGAGGTAGTTTTCCACTTCAATTTGTTTTGTGATTTGATACTTTTTTTCTCAATAAAGCCCCAAGTAGTTAATACGATTGGCTTAATTATATATTTTTTATTTTTTTAAAACAATTATTATTATTATTATTATTATTATTATTATTATTATTATTATTATTATTATTATTATTATTATTATTATTATTATTATTATTATTATTATATCCTTAGGTCATTTTACATGTTAATCTAAACAGCTAATTTTTTGAAATATCTTTTTACCAACCGTTGATATAATTCGTTGGTCAAATCCGTTAACGCTAATCGCTAACTGCTGATTGTCAAACAAGGACATTACGAGATAGTTCTCACTTCAATTTGTTGTGTGATTTGAATACTTTCTTTGTCAACAAATCTCTTAAGTAGTTAATATGATGACTTTATTAATTATATTTTTTAAATTTTTTCATGGTATTAATAAAATACTTGGTAAATATTTAAATATATAGCATTATTTTGTATTATAACTTTGATATTTAATTAAAAAAGTAGTGCACAAAAAAAGATAATAGACAATGTAGTGAATATAATCAATTGATAAATTTGAATGTAAATGATTTTTACATTGGAGAAAAATAAAGACAATATAACTAATAAAATTATTTCTCTTAATTAATTTATTGATAATGAATAATTTTTTTTTTGAAGAAGAATAATTTTTTTTAATAAAGACATTGTAGGGACAATGTAGCGAATATAATCAATTGATGAATTTGAATGTAAAAAATTTTTATATTGGAGAAAAAAATAAAGACAATATAACTAATGAAATTATTTTTCTTATTTAATTTATTGATAATGAATAATTTTTTTGAATAAAGACATTGTAGACGCATAATTCTAAATTAAAGAAATGCATATATATTATTTTTTGTTGTAGCTACTAAATTACTATTTTTTAATTTAATAAGAGTGAAATAGAGTACTAAATTTAATAAGAGTAAAATAGAGTACTAATTATGCCAACTTTAATTGGGATGGGGTTCGAACTTAAGACCTTTCTTATTGAAATCAATGAGTAAGTTAACGGCGAACTAACAAAAATTAACGGAAAAGATAATATTTAACGGAAAAGTTAACGGATAATCATATTCATTAAGGATAAATTAGGAAATCTTAAGGAAAAATTAAAATATGATCAATCTGAGCCA